TAGGGAATGCCGATTTCTGACTCCGTCAACTCGATGGGATTGAAAACACAAAAATAGGGGGGGGGGAAGTATCAGTATGGTGTGTCCATAATTTTCAGCAATACACTTTTTCAAATGTTTTTGTCTGTGAAACTTCAAGTAGTTACATTTTGGTATAGTTATCTTCAAAATACAAATTGTAATCCATAAAAAAACTTTGTATTTCATCTTTTCTCGAATTTTTATTCGGTACTTTGATGAGCTGTCGCAAATTTTAAGAAGCGTTGTCAAGAACTATTACACTATTCGCATCCAAATTTGGGATCAATGTGTTTTCAAACCATTCCTCGAAAATATTACCTTCCATGTTTTTATGATAGTCAACATTGCAATCGTCAAGTTTTTTTCCACACAATTTCAAAGAATTCGGAATTCATCCTTTACTTCCTCCGCAATGCACAATGATAAATCGCGATCCTTTGTTTGCAGGCATGTTAGACGTACACATTCTCGAACCATCAGTCCACCGTTTTGTAAATTTGTCGTGAGTGTCATACCAAGTTTCGTCCAAATAGAATATTTGCCGTTGTTCTTGTCTATATTTAGTTATTTGTTCTAATTATTTGTTACGCAATTTCACTATTCTTCTCCTTTACATAACTGCTTGACGTTTGGTTATTATTTTAAATCCAAATCCTAGTTTCTTTATCCAATTTTGAAGAGTTTTGTCACAGCAGTTCACCTTATGGCCGTAAGTATTGAATTTCTTCCTTATGTTTTCAGTGGAAGGAATCTCATTGCTTTTGTAACAGTCGTATGTTGTTTTTTCAATGATTTTATCAGATGCACATCTGAAGGTTTTGGTAATCCCGTAACACATCGCGTCTTACGTTCATAATATTTGTTTTTGACTATTTTACGTACAGTTGAGAAAGGCATTTCGGTCAAATCTGATGTTGCTTGTAATAGTTTGTTTCCCTCGAAACCAAACTTGAGATGTAGATTCTCATATACATTGAAATATATTCTCTGTGTTCAAAATTCAAATATATCCAAATCTCATTCACTGGTATCTCTTTTTCACATTATTCACCATCGCTATTGGAATCATTACACTGGAAAAAATCTGCGTTGTTACTACACTAATTATTACTATTAATACTAGTCCAAGTACGCCACATTTTGAATAGATAACAAAAATTTTAAGTAATTATAACTGCACCATTATCGAATTTCAACACTCAAATCGCGATTAGTTCCTGAACTGAACACGACGACTATAACCATCCCCGCATTTCCCGATTTCTATTTGTCACCGTAACATGGCTTCAAATTTAATTTTATGACTCTTGAACCAATCATAAAACTCGGTTAGTAAAAATTATCCAATACGAACCCCCATGATGAATTTTCACCATCTACAAACTGCAGCTTTAAGGGATTCGTCGGTAGTTAACAGAAGACCCGTGGAGGTACTAAGCTGAGGTCTGTACTTCGATTGTACAGATGTAATGATATGATTGTCATTGACATAATTATCAATCTGGTCTTTCAGTATCAATTTCACCACTTTAGAAAGACAAGGGGAATTGTAATTGGTCTCAGGTCACTAAGGACTACAGATGAGTTACACTTAGTCAGAGGGATAACCAATCCATCCGTTCAGAATTTTGGAAATTGGCAACTGGTAATGATGGAGTATGAGAAAAATGAGATGATTTATCAAAAGAGAGTGTCAATGAGATTCATCATTCTGATGGATTTTTTACGAACAAAACACAAGCACTACAGGAAAACCCTAAGAGTGCTGCTTTTGCGAAAGTAGCGATCCAGGAGATTTAATTCATTTGAAAAAAAAATGTTCTTGGGAAGTTTGTTCCACATAAACGGAGTTCTCCAGATGAAAGACTTCTTGAACAGTGAAGTTCGAGGTGTGTAGAGTTGAACTTCAATACGATGAGCAGCCACAGTCCGTCGCGTATTTCTGATATGTACTGCTAAAATAAAGTATATTTAAAATATTGTCCATCAACGTTTAGACATAAGTATTTTAGGAACTTCCTTTGCACGCTCTCAATTGATGTTTTTGGTAGGTGTAAACTGGATTCAAACTTTTGAGAAGCAGCCTTTGCAATTTCAGCGACGTGATTGTGCCAAGACATATTGGTGTTCATTTTGACCGCCAACAAACTTATCGAAGCAGAAAGTGGAATTGTCTGACCTGACATTATTATATCCGTTTCGGAGACATTTATCTTTTTGGAGAAAACCAAACGCCTAGGTTTTTGTATCATTGGATCGAACTTGGTTGATTTAACCCCAACTGGATATTATTTATAGATCCTCCATAAGATATGCAACAACTCCCCACACATGATCATTGGGCCCGAGAATCAGATGCTCTGAGCAAGTGCGGTGAGCCAAGAATGACGGCCTTCTGCATCTGTCCGGCTAAGATTTCTGCCTTAGTGCGGCAAGCCGGCATGATTTCAAGATTCGAGAGTAGAGAGAGCATTATTCCACCAAGGACCCCAGTAATCAGAACAACCATCTTGACAGAGTGATCTGGATAGAGTCTGCGAAGTTTGAAGAGAAAATTTCGATATTTTATCCGTTTCTCCTCCTCTTTTCGGACGTTATTCGTCTCGCCAGGAGCTGAAAACTCCACGACAAATATCGTCTTGCTCTGGTGGTCGAGAAGGACTACCTCAGGCTTATTAGCTTGCATGAGCCTGTGGGTGGGGAACGTATAGTTCCAATAAATTTGGCACTTCACGTTCCCCACGCTTAGGGCCGCGTTGCGTCGATGGATTTAGGCCGAGACCGTGTATGCTGGACATGCTGATAGCAAGTGCATTAAGGTCTCAAGCGCTTCGCGGCAGGTCCTGCCGCGGTCAGGAACCTCTATACCCATCACGCGGCTGCGGCATACAAGGTGTTGAAGACACCATCCATGATGAACCCCTCAGTTTCCGACTTCAGCCCACTCGACCTGAGGAAAGCAAAACTTAGGCGCTTTGATAAGCCAAATTCTCCAACAACAATAAATTTGTATTATTTTCATCTTGATTATCATTGTTAGTATGATTATCACATGCAAGTATCCTTTCAGCTACTTTAATCAAAGGGGTTAGTCAAGACGTACAGGGCAAGTACGTAGTACGTAGTTACAGAAAAATGTCAGCTGACGTTTTGTTGACAGTATCGCATCTAATCATAAATCAATCGTCCAATATGCTGATGTAACTAGAAGTTGGAGTCATATGGCTTTTAAGCCACTCTATTGTGTTTTTGGAAATATTACCATACCCCAGCGATATGTTATGGTATTCATGATGCAACTAGCTTTGCTAAACGCTTACCACTTACGAGTTGTTCTGAATATCGCTATAACCGAAATGATCATCCCTTCAAATCAAACCGAAGACGTGGATGCTTGTCCAGAGTACGTTTATGAGGCAGTGGAAATGATGGGAGGTATGTTTGATTGGCCAAGTTGGATAGAATCCATGATCCTCTATGCATTCTATATCGGTTATATCTTCAGTCACATACCTGGGGGCTGGATAGCGGACAAATTGGGAGCGCGACATGTCATGGGGACTTGTATGCTGTTATCTATAATAGTTACTTTTTTGTACCCCTTGGCCATTCAGAAGGGAGGTTATATAGCAGCTATAGTTTTGAGAGTGTTTTTGGGATTGTGCCAGGGTCCTCTGCTTCCAACTGTCTCGACTTTCATTCAGTGCTGGGTGCCACCTGAAGAGAGAGCTTTCCTAGGCGGAATTGCATTCGGAGGTTCTAATATGGGAACTGTAACTGGAAGCATATTTACTGGCATCATAATCAAGGAGACAAACAGCTGGAGCACGCCTTTTTACATATGGGGTGCATTGAGCCTGGTGTGGTACATATTCTATCTGTTCATGGTGTTTTCGAAACCGCAGACCCATCCGTACATATCAGAAAAAGAGTTGAAGCTGGTGGTAGCTACCATAGAACCGAAGAAGGAGTTTCGTGTGCCTTGGTTGAAGATTAGCAAAAGCCTACCAGTTTGGGCTTTGTTGGCGGGACAGTTCGCTCACAACTATATATTCTTCACGTTATTCACCAACTTACCGAAGTATTTGAAGGAGATTCTCAAAATGAATGTGGAATCGAATGCGGCTGCAACTGCGCTTCCGTTTTTGGCCCTTTGGATATCCAATATTGTGTTCGCTTATATCTCGTCATTCCTGACGAATCGGAACTTTCTCACTATTATACAAGCCAGAAAAATGTGGACTGCCTTTTCCTTAATAGTTCCTTCTATCATCCTTGTTTTAACCGTATATGTCGGGTGCAGTAGAGCAGCAGCTATTACACTCTATACTGTCGCATTATTTCTGGTTGGCCCTTTTTTCTCCGGGATGAAAGTGAACGTGAACGATTTAACGACACATTATGCCGGTACGATTATGGCTGTAGTGAATGGATTAGGCGCCATAGCAGGAATATTGGGACCATTCATTGTTGGAGCTTTGACTACAAAACATACATTACAAGAATGGCATATTGTGTTTTGGATAATGCTGTCATTTTCCGTTATTCTATCCATACTCTATTGTATATTTGCCAAAGCAGATCGACAAGAATGGGATTTTCTGGACGAAGAGCCAATAGAGGGAACATGAATATATAATATGTGTATAATATATCTGGTAATAAACAGTTTTAAACTGAAAAGAAGTTGCGTTATAATTCAGAATTAACTTTTAGATAGGACGCTTCCTACAATGAATTACTTTCTCGACAATTACTTTGGTTCCTGGCCGAGGCTCAGCTGCATTGACTGAGGTTACAAATGCTATCCCTAGAGGAATTGATGAAAACAATGCTACCATTCTGATACTTTGAGATTAAACCAAAGGATCATTAGGAACAGATATCAGAGGGTAATATATGAAAATCAGATATCTATAGCACTAAACGCTATCACGGGAGAAGCAGAAGAAAGTATCATCACAGCTTAAGTAAGCTGTGGTATCATGGTGTTACAATTTCATGCAATTCATATCTCATGTATACCTGGAATAAACTAGATGGCATATCGAACTCAAAAGTGGGAAATGAACGGGACAGAGTAATCAAAAACCACAAAGTGTAGTTTGAAAAACTACACAACATCATCATCTTGATCATCAAGTGATCACTTGGTGATCGAAACACGTGTCGAGGTGTTGAAAATAACGATTTGGTGTTGGGAAAAATCTCCAGTAATATTCATTACTACACCAAAGGTTCCAAACAGTGCATCATAAGTATAGGTGTTCAGTGGTTGTTTGGCAAAACCCAAAGCGATGCCAATGACAGGTTCTGGTCATATGAAGTCACTTGCAGCACCCTCCTTTGCAAGAGAGTCAAAAGTTTCATTGCCATTCAGGCCAGTACGGCCAGGAATCCAGACATCCAGACCAGAGACAATCTGTTAAGTCTTCCTATCGAGGCGAGCCGTTTTGGCAATTTGCTACCAATTTAGACGTTGCTCGGTAGGAGCCAAGAGCTACCAACGCCGCTTAACTGTCGAATATTTTTATTGACTTGTGTGTGAGGTTGGATTTATCCAATCTCTCCACATACAATTCAATAACGTAAATTTCCGCATGAAATACAGTCGCATAAGTCCCTAGGCAGGTAGGTATCTCTATCCTGGGTCTGCGACTAAAAACACCTGCACCAGAACCGAAAGGTGTTTTTGATCCATCTGTGAACCAACAACTGTCTGCTCATAATATTTCGTTCATCCGGAGGATCTAGTCTCTCCACTCGGGAATGGTACTGTTGCACTCTGCATTAAATTGATTTGTGCAATTGGCAATGTGCACAAGCCTGTTTGCAATCCATCTAGCCTTTCTTTCCCGAAAAATGTGGAGAGGAGGTAGATCTAGAAGGATTTCCATGGCCGCTAACCAGTGTTAGCGTTCATGCCGATTTCGCGATTATGCCGTACCAGGTGACAAACGAAGAAACTATCGCTAACACGGAAGCGGTAATCAAAAATCTCCCGGATGAGGAAGCGGAAGAAACCCGGATTGTGACAGCAAATATTCTGAGCAAGGTACGACCGCCAAACTGGAACATCCTGAAAATAGAGATTGCAGCCTTAGAAGGCTTGAACTCTGACAAGGGCATCACGATTCTTCCAGGGAAATGCCACGGTACTTCTGAAAACGAAATAATATTACAGCAAAATTGAAGAATAACTAGACCCTCAAACGTAATTGGAACGGAAACTTCACTGTCGGAAACCGTACAGATAACCATTCTTAGAACTGAAGACGTTCCACTCAAGCTCTACGGTCTTTCGAAGGTACATAAAAGCCACATGCTACTGAGACAAATAGTCAGTGCCCCAGGCTGGCCGACCCACCACCTGGCGAAGCATCTATCCTCGCTCTTCCAGTCTCACGTGGGAAAAGGGAACTCCTACGTCAAAGATTCGACATATTTCTTTGGTAAAATTGGGGACTCAACTTTGGAGCCGACAGATATTCTGTTCAGTTTCGATATTGTGTCCTTGTTCACCAATGTTCCACTGGAAGACTCTCTGAGGGGACTAGCATACTTGTTTCCGACTATCCTCGGACTGTTGACGGACTTTCGGGAAGTTTTTTCAATGGAGGGGTAACTTCTTTGAGCAACTAGGTGGCATGGCGATGGGAAGTCCACTCAGCTCAGTGATAGCCAATTACTTCATGTAACGTTTTGAAGAGAAAGCAGTTAACACCTTTAAATTAAAACCTACCTTGTAGTTATGTTACGTTGAATGACAATTCTGTCATCTGGAAATATGAAAGGAACGCTGTAAACTTTCTCCTAGACCACGTGAACGCTCAACACCCCAGCATCAAGTTCACCATGGAGCAAAACGGCTTGCTTTTCTGCAACAGAATTGGAAAGAATTGCAGGTGTATTTCAATATTAATGTGACTGATACGGATTACTCTTCAGTACTTCAGCCAGTCCTTAGGTCTGATAAGGTATCATAAACTGAATAATGATTACCTAAAGCATATTATTCAATTCTACATCAGATTCAATACTTCATTGGTTTCAATAAGGGTGATCTATTCAAATCCAGTTGCTCATTCAGTAAAATGTTCAAAAGCTTCGTTAAAGATATGATTTTCTACTAAAAGATGATTTGAATGTGTTGAACTTGTTTTCTTATTTACACAGTTTATATGATGTTCCTGGATACGATTCCTAAATGTTCTGCCAGTTTGACCAATATATACCTACCTACCTCAGGACAAGTTCCACACTTCAATTCATGTACTCCTGATTTCTTGAATTTGGATGTTTTGGCACGTCATATCAAAGTTGAAAATTAGGTACGATGAGAACATGGGTACATGACAACTTCTGTGATTTTTGTTTGGGGGCGATTTTTGGTGTAAGGCTTAGACGAACAGTATTTCACAAGTTGAGGAAAGTGGACGTGGTTGAATATGTATAAACAAAGATTATTACATTTACTCTGCACAGCGATTTTGAAGTACAAAAAACATCATAGAAAAACATGACTCTGAGAGGAAAAGACAATTATCTAGTCACAGAAAAGAAGTATTTGAGCAATCTTTCACTTACACCGAATTGATTCCACAGAGTCAATCACAACTTTCATAATCATAAAGGAGAAGTTTTCTCAGTAATCATATCTCAATCCTCTAATTAGTATCTATTTCAAAATTTTTGATTTATTTGAAATTACATGATCATGTGCTTCTTGTACATAATAATAATTGTCCATTTAATCCGTAGTTCCGAAAATATTTATATTATCTATTGAACACTTTTCCAACACCAGACAACAAAGTAATCTGATTCTTCAACGCTTCTGCTTTCACCAAGTCAACTTTTATCATTCCATCATTTCGGCCATTTCGGGAAAATAGAATATATGTTTATTGGCACTGAAACAGAGAAAGTAACGATGTAAACAATAATCAACTCATAATGATTTGAATTATCGCCGCACTTTTCGAAGGTATGAGAGCAATGAAAGATTTCTAGTGAAAATGTAAACAATATTTATTTCTACTATACGGTTGTTCACACTTTTGAAATATATTGGTCAATATTCATTTCATCTTAATGACCGTAATTCAGTATTATCAGATAATATGGCAGGGTTGTTGTCAAACTTTTGGAGCACTTTTGATTTATTTTGAACTAGTTGTTGCCTGCAGCTTTGCCCGCGTAAAATTTGGTTTGTTACATCAAGTTTCGTGAGAGACCATTTCAAACGAATAGTTACAATATTTTTTTATCAATCCAAAACTTCAGGTTTCCAACTTCAAAACTGACGTAATTCAATACAATCTTTGAATCCCTATTTTTCCCCTTCGAAGGTACGCTATACAAAGAACCTACCTGCATATTTCAAGATTCTAGGGCTGTACGTTTATATAAGAGCGGGCAATAGCCATGTAGAAGATGCAATACTAAATTTAACTTCATAAATCTATAGGGCATTGGACAATCTTAGGGCATAGGGCATTGATTTACATCTCGCTAGAGCTATCTGAAGACTCTGATACTGTATGGATCAGCTCAGGAGTTGTTTAAAAACAATTACACACGGTGTACCACAGGGGACAGTAGTCGGGCCGCTTTTATTAACTATATACGTGAATAGTTGATTGACCATTCAAATCTAAAGTAAATTCATTAGATATAGCCATACTGTACGAAGGAGAGAATTGGGTAGATTGAAGACAGAAGAAAATATGAAACATATTCAAATGTAATAAGCTCCATCACTGAATAGTTAAAAAACTCATTAGCTACCCTTAACACCATACTCCAATCACTTGTAAAGGGGGGACAAACCGCGGACACGTGTTTCTGGCTATTGTCCTCATTAGCGCGGTGCAGCCAAGTGTAAAGATGGGCAACACTTGTTTGCCGAAAGCAGGAAACAACACATATGCACGGAGTCAACAACAGGAGCCAACCGCACATTTGTGGTTCCAGTTAGAAGACCTAGAATTCCTAGGAACCAATACAGAAACCAAAACACTAAAAAATGTACAGATCCGGAAAAAGGTGTAGATCAAACGTTTCATGATTCTGAAATATATAATATTTGAAGTGAAAACTGATCAGCAATGACTTGGTGGTGATGACAATGTGTGAAACGCGGCGGGTGGAAAATCACAACGGCTTGTTAAAATTCAGACAAACTTTTGAATCTATTATTGAGACTTTAAAACAATTCAGCACAGACCCGGATATGGAGACCCCAACCAAAGCATCTTCTTTCTGAGATCTGCTCTTGCCAACGAATTCGTGGTATGACTCGGTTTTTGGTGAAGGTATTTGCAGCAACATTAACGGTATGCAAAGTCCTGATGTCCCCTCTTTGTTACTTAAAAACAGCTGTCTACCATATTGAGAATATATTATCACACTTTCAAGATATTCGATTCAATAGTTAAAAAGAATTTTCAAATTCATTAACAGAAGCAAAGGATTTATTGGCTGATATCAATGAAGAGATCAAGCTTTCACGATTGACACCAGTACAGTACGGCAAGTACGGTATCGCGCTAGTCCAAATACTAATCTGTTCAAAACAATCTGTTTTTCCGTGAACCAGCTGTCGCACCCCCTACAAACGACAACCCTCATAAGTCGAAACTTGTGCGAGCTAAGGATTAACGAGGTCTTACATTTTAACGTGTGATTCCTAACACGGGTTGGACGATAGCAAGTGAACATCGATCGTTCAGACTAGGGCTTTGACCACAGACCAACACGGCAGTCAATTCGAGTGAGTGAACAAAGCACCCATGCCGAACCGCTTGGCTACCGACCGACCAGTACAGTATTACCGCATAACTGTTGCAATGCCCCTATAAGTAGACCTAACTTCCCAGCTCAAAATAAAATTTACTGACCACAAGAAAGTGATTGCTGCTATGTATACTCTCATACCAACAGTCTGTTCCGAAAAGGAACCGTCATTCCCAACAGAGGACCTAGTGATGTTCGGGAACCTGCTGGAACTAGACGAGGCACAAAGCGAATTTCAACTATGGAAATTGTTGTGGCAGGGCGAAACCCCTTCGGACCGGCATTCTTGCGCCTTTGAGGCTGTCGTAGAATGCAACAGGAAATTATATCCCAACATATGTTGTTGAACATTATGTCGACTCTACCAGTAACCACGTGCACCCCGGAAAGGTCATTTTCCACACTTAGGCGCCTAAAAACCTACCTACGAAATTCTTGTGGGCAAGAGAGGCTAACTGGGTTGGCCCTAAAGGCAATTCACAGAGATATCATTATCCCAAATTATAACATAATTTGCCCATAAACAGTCTAGAAGGCTTGATTTTGTATTGTGAGTTCACTGAATTGGAAATTGAAGGTTTTTAGTTTCAAGTAACAAATATGTTAGTTCAGTTTTTTCAGTGGAGGCCTTTTTCCTTGCCAATGTAATGGTAATTAATTAAATTTGAATTAGCAGGTCTTTTTTATTGAGACTCCCCCCGGAACAAAAATCTAGGCACGGCCTTGGTCATGAATCATACAGAACAAGAGATCCGAATTCCTCGCGACTCAACAGGCTTTATTCACCTTCCAGGTTTACTTAATTACTTCGAAGCAATAGCGGCAGGTCAAAAAACCTGTAGAACAAGGCTTGTAAACTCGAAAACTGCGGTTTAGTCACCAACTCAGTCTAGATAGACTGTGAGATAGCTTCTTTAGGGAATGTCTGAATGTGCTGAATGTGTATCATTCAATTTGTTTTTCTTTTCAGCTCATTTGCAGAGCGGCACGCACAAGCAACTGAGGAACATCTCCAAACATTTACTGAAAAAGTTGGATACTTCGTGTAAACAAATCCCACCTCCTGAAATAAAGAATGGCAGACTAATCAAACTGAAGAAGAGGAAAGTGGCGTCAGAGAAGTTTTACATGGTTGCAGAATTCAAATGTCATGAAGGATTTGTATTCGAAAAGCCACTTTCTGGCAAGATGTATTGCAGCAGAAGTAGATGGGTTGGTAAAATGCCAGATTGTAAACCTGCCACAAAACTGGGTGAGTTTGTACGAAGAAAAGAATAGAATATATTTATTTGACTACATTACAATACATGTTTGTTTGTAGCATGTCATATTAAGAAAAAAAAAGACCATACCGTAGAATAATAATTGTTAAAANAAATATCATTGAATATTACTTACTTGCAGGTATCGCACTGATGATGGCATAACAGCCGAAAGCGTTTTGCAATTTACAAATAAAAATTATTTTACAAGAAATACGATTCCTTTCCTGATCTAAAATTCTTAGTCCAGCCGCTTCCTTGGCTGAAGAGTCGGAAATGCGATTACCTTTACTCCTGTCGTGCCCTTTAATCCACCTCAGGATAACGTTATTATCTACCGAGGCTTTGGCTAAATCTTGGTGGCACTCTGGTACTAGCCCTGAGGTAACACGTTGTCTGTTCAAGGCTGGTATTTTTTCCCATTCCTCACTTAATCCTTAGGCTTAGTAATCTGGAGTACACTCCACATCCTGAGCCTTCTTTGGTTTTTCAGCCATCTGTATACAAACCTCAGAAACTTTTGATACTTTTTAAAGCTCAGACCTTCTTTGGAGTATTTTTTATATGTATGGAGTTCCGCTCCTAATACCCTGAAGCTGCTGAATTCCACCCAGAAAAAAGCCATCCGCCTGATTGGATGGCTTAACATCACTTCACATCACTTGCAACCTCGATAGTCTGAAACATCGAAGAAAGGTTGGAGATTTGTCTCTCTTTCATAGATACTTTCACGGGAGGTGATTCCACCAAGAGCGGTACATATCAGAAATACGCGAGAGACTGTGGCTGCTCATCGTTTTGAGATTCAACTCAGTACACCTCGGACTTTGCTATTCAAGAAATCTTTCATTTGGAAAACTGCGTTTATGTGGAATAAACTTCCAAATGAATTTAATCTTCAGCGATTCAAATTGAATGTGAATCGCTGCTTTAGCACAGGCACCGCTCTTAGAGCACCTTGAGGATTTTTCTGTTGTGCTTGTGTTTTATCTTCGAAAAAAACGGAAAATTTACAATGTTGCCAAACTTCTTCAGCTAATGTCTTGTCGATAAATTGAATAAAATGTAAGTTGAAACACTACTTGAATATCCAAACACGAATTGTTCAGTGCGAAACTTTTGAAATATCCGAAACCACCTCGATTTATTATGGTCATTGATTTTTCATTACGTAACTGTGTACATTGCAACTTTGATATTGAATTTTTTTCAGATATTTCACAAAAAGTTGGTGCTCTTCCAAAAATCCATCTCGGTGAATGCCACCATAGATCCAAATCGAAGTGCCCCCATCTTTGCTATGTGTACAATGGAAGAACGACGTGCGGTTGTCCTCCTGGCTTCCAAGAAGTTAATAAAAATTGTGAAGGTAAAATTTCCATATATATTTTCAATGAAATATTTGACATATCACTTAAATATATCTAGTAGCATTATTGATTGTTGAAAACGAACATTCGTGATTCAACACCAAACAGCGTTATTTAGACCTACCATAGGTCTCATCAGTGCTGCTAGATTGAACAACTGTTTCATTATGATAGCATATAATAATAATAATAATAAAGTTTATTCATCCTGCCAATTTACATGATTTATATAAGATTTATGTATGAATAAACAAAAAAATCACAGAAGCTCTAAAACGTGCTTGTTAGTGATAAAATAATACTAAAAAAAGAAAATATATATATATACAATAAAAAACAAAAGACAAAAAAGAAAAAGACAATATCGATGGAGAAATATAAACTCAAACCTATTATAATATAATTCAATATTGTAATACATAAGGTTACATACTAGCGAGTAGTGAATGAGAGAAGAGATGGTAGAGTATGAAAAGTATTCATCATTCGAGTCGACCAACAATGACTTCTCGAAATTATTTTCGGGGTTCTTTATGTATGAAAGATTTCGGTTCTTTTTTGAAGCGATGTGGGTTCTTTATCAATTTGATTTCATGTAGAAGTGTGTTGTATAATTTTGGAGCAAAGTATTTATATGAACGTTGGGAGATTAGTTTTTGCATTTGTAGTGTGATATGTTGATTTCGTTGACGTGTAGCATATTCATGTGTGGGTAATTCAAATTTTCGTTTTTGGTGGTAATGTATATTTATTTTCAGGAAAAAGAGTTAGTACCTAGATGTCAAATACATGACTTTCCGCATAGAGAGCATCAGATGGAAAAGTGGGTTCTTTTTTTAGGATTATTTTTAAAAACCGTCTTTGGAGATGCATTTCTATGTGTACTCCCAAATATTTTGTAGATGTTGCTGATTTGATAACGAACTGTTCTGTTGGAATGTTAACTTGAATTTTATCGAAGTTAGGGGAAGTTGTTCTATTGCAGCAAAATGGTAGGAAGTGTGTTTTATCAACATTAATTGTGAGTAGTTTATGATGTAGCCATTTCCAGATTGAATGGAAGTCTGATGCAACTATGTCTCTAAATTCGTCCCAAGAATTACCTTTGTAAAAAATGGCTGTATCATCAGCGAAACCTAGGATATCCCCCCTAGCTTTCAGCAAAAACATACCGTTCACGTAAATATTAAAGAGAAGTGGTCCCAGGATTGTTCCCTGGGGTACTCCATACTGAATAGTGCTGAATATGCCTTTCCATCCGGAGTCACAGCCGGAAAAAATAAATATTCGAGCTGATATGCCGTAGTCGAAAGGAACTTTTAGAAACGTTTCGTTTGCTACTGCGGCATGCATTTTCAGTGGTCAGCGTCCTCAATACTGTGTTAAAAAATTCAGGGTAATTTTTATTTCTCCGAAAAAGTTTTTATTCGGTTTTTATCTCCTCAATCTTCATCGTCCTTTCATGGGTCTATTCAATCTTTTCCTTCCTATTGCTTTTCGCAGCGGCGAAATCACCAGGTAGGTAGGTAGGTCTGAAATAGGGGGGGTCTATTCGACCCTCTACTGCAACCCACAAGGGTTTATTGTGGCTCACACCAGGCCAGTATGGCCAGGAATCCTGACCAGAGACAATCTGTTAAGTCTTCCTATCGAGGAAAGTGGCGTTAGATCGTCAAATTTTCTCCTCTTGGTGAAGGGGATTAACACAGTTTTGCTGGGGTTGACAGACATCTGCTCCCTCAGTCACCAACTGTGAACAACGTCCAACGCGCTTTAGAGGATATTACAAGCTACGCTTCTTCACGTGGACCTTGCCAGGATAACAAGGTCATCTGCATAAGCTTGCAGATCGACTTTTCTTCTGTCGAGGGCATCAAGCAGACTATCCACCAGGAGCGACCACAGAAGGGGTAGTTGCAGTTCTGTTTACTAGCATGGCATACATTCAGCCAGTTATGAACGATTATATACCCTTCCTAGCCAGAGACAATCCTATAGATTTAGGTAGTGCATTATCAAATGCTCCTTCAATATCAAAAAATACAGCAACCGCAATCTCCTTGTTGTCAAGGCTCTCTAGAGAGAATCTTGTGAATTCTTGTGCTGCGAGGCAAATCAGAGATACTCTCACAAAACTTCCTCCAAGACTTCCGTTTTGCCTTTCTAATTTCCTTGTTGTATGTCGTGAGAGTAGTTTTATAATACTTACCTGCCTCTTTAGCTCGATTGAATAGTCGTCGAACTTCTTTACTTTAACTTTCCAGGCTTTTGTTCCACCAGGTACTACAAAGATGAAGTTTCAACATGTACTTTTTCCTCATTCACAGAATCCAAAGAATATATTCGGTTGTTTCAAAAGTTTTGTCCGTTTTTATGAGTCTACTTTGAACTGTAATACCTCAGAGAATAGTTATCCAATTTAATCGTTGTTAATTATTATTATTTTATTTTTTCAAGGACAAATGTGAATATCATTCCCCAAATTGACATTTCTAATTACCTGTATCGCTTATCCATGCCATAAATTATAATATATTCATTTTCAGATATCAACGAATGTGAAGTTCCAAAAATTCGGTCCATTTGTAAGTTTGGCTGCATCAATTCCATTGGCTCTTATCATTGTTTAGAGGATTCCAATGGATACTTATCTGATGCCCCTGTTGAAAATAATGATACCATTCCAAATGACGATGAAGAATACGACGACGAAGAATACGATGATGAAGAATATGATGAGGAAGATTATGATGAAGACGATTATGAAGATGCTGATTATGACGATGAAAAACATGTAGAAGGAAAGGAGGCTGATGAAATTTCGAATAATGATAAGTCAGAAGAGTCACCCAAGGAAAATAGTAAAAGTAAATCAGAATCTATCAATGAAGGTTCAAAGAATAACGATTTACTTTCTGATAAAACAAATATAAAATCCAGTTTGGAAAGGAGAAATGACTCGGAGGTTAGAAATGGAGATAAATCAGATTCGTATGATGATGAATACGGAGAAGACTATAAAGATTATGATGAAGAGGTGAAAGTAAGCACTAGCAGTTCAACATCTACTGTACCTATTTCGCCTACTACTACCCCTTTACTCACTACCAACGTTGATGCTGAATATAAGGAAGATGATTATGACGAGTATGACGAAGACGATGAAAATGAAGTCGATACGAAGACACCCACAACTATGTTATATTCTACTAGTGATGCCACTTCTATTACTTCTACAAGCAAGTATGAAATTGGATTAGACAAACCTGAGAATGTTGATGGAAGCAGCATATTAAAAATGACAGAAACGGACAATGAAGATACTAAAGAATCTGGGAATTTTTTCGCCAGCAATGAAGTTGTTGAATTTGATGATTCAACGAAAGAAAGAGTTGCTGACGATATCAAAAAGACCGTGGATATATCATCAAATGGTATAGAATCAACAACAAATGAAAACTTGGATGGGAATGTGAAACTAAATGAACGCATTGATACAGAAATCGAGAATGATGTAAAATCAACAGAAGATTATGATGAATACGATGAAAACGATTATGACGAGTATGAAGGACCTAATGAAGTTACTGAAAGAATGAACTTGAGTGATAAATTCAGTACGACGAACCCGACTACAATTACTTCTTCTACAGATGGTTTTCATACAAGTACATATAGTTCCGGAAAAGGCGATGCCATAACGGAAATTTCGACAACCCTCAGTAGCCACAAAGAACATGAAAACGAGATACAATACAACCGCAATGCTGGAACTGATACTGATGATGAAAGCACCGAATCTGTGGAAATATCAACACAGAATTCTAAAGATAATGATTCAGTTGGGAACAATGAGGATTATGAAGATGAAGATTATGATGACGAATACGAAGAATCTACGATTGTCACTAGTACGACCATCAGTAATTTAGAGACTACTAAAAAGCCTACGGTGGCACCTGATGGGGGAATTGAAGAAGATAATTCAATAAGACGGTATTATCATGAAAGTTCAAGTGAAACTGAAGAAAGCGAAACAGAAACAGGCATCCTCACAACAACTGTAACGGACAAAGGAGAAGAAGACAGCAATATGAAAATAAACTTCACAAATCTAAATTATAATGAAAATATTTCTAGCTATGATGATATTTCAGGAATAATCGGGACAACGAATGGAATTTCATTTTCCCCTGAAACCACAACACCCATAGATGATGCCTGGGATAGCATTACAAAAAAAGATTCGATGATCAAAGAAACTGAAAACAGAGATGACAAGAATTACGACATTCATGAGGAAGATCAATATGAAGAATATAGTGATAACAGTCGATCGTTTGTCAACTCTACTGACGATTATGAAGAAAAATACGATTCTACCGTCGACAGTATTCTGGAAAATGTAAGTTCTACTCCTGTTCAAACACCACCTTCTGATGTGAAGCCATTGAAGAATAGGACAGAAAATGATGAAGATGAAAACTATGATGACGATGATGACGAAGAAGAGGATTATGAAGAAGGGAAGCGTCAGGAGCCGCACAAAGAAGAGAGTATGGTAGTCGAAAACGAAGTTGATAAGTGCGAGGACGGGTTTATTCTGGATCAAAACCATAAATGTATAGGTAAGGAATCAGAATTAATGGCGGTATTTGATGAAAACTAAATTCAATCTTTTTCAGACGTTGATGAGTGCAATCCAGATACCAATCCGTGTTCAGATATCTGTGAAAATACTCTGGGAGGCTATATTTGCAAATGTTCGAAGGGTTTCAAATTATCCACTGCAGATATTCACGTTTGTCAGGACATCGATGAATGCCTGGAGAGTCCTTGCTCTCACTCCTGCACAAATTTAGAAGGGTCTTATCGATGCGATTGTCCAAAAGGACTCACCCTGCAAAATACAACCTGTGTCAATTTGACCTGTTCGCATGGAGAAACAAAAATAAATGGACAGATTCAGTGCACTTGTCCTTCAGGATTCGTCCTTGGGTTTGACAACAGAACTTGCGAAGATGTGGATGAATGTTTGTTATTCAATGACTGTTCACATAACTGTCAAAACAGTGAAGGCTCGTACTCCTGTAGTTGTAGAGAAGGATTCAAATTGGAAAATGGTAAAGTTTGTGTGGACATTGATGAATGTCAAGGAAAACATGGCTGTTCACAGGTTTGCAAAAATACACCGGGAAGTTTCGAATGTTCCTGTTACGATGGGTATGAGTATGATAATTCAACGAAGTCGTGTGTAGATATTGACGAGTGCGACGAACAGCGAGATTTAGATGAATGCACCCAAATCTGTATCAACTATAACGGCGGGTATGAGTGTGCTTGTCGAAGTGGTTTCAGGTTAGCATCAGATGATTCTACGTGTGAAGACGTAGACGAGTGTTCTGTAAACAATGGTAACTGCTCCCACACTTGTCAGAATCTCCCAGGGAGTTTTATCTGTCACTGTAAACAGAATTATAACCTAGAAGGGGACAACAGAACTTGCAAAATTGTGAACCCATGTCTGGAGGGAAATGGTGGTTGTTCACATCAATGTGTGAACAGTCAAGGTTCAGCGGAATGTAGATGTCCACTGGGATATAGCTTGGAAGGAAAACAATGCTTTCTGAGAGATCCGTGCCTCGTCGATAATGGAAAATGTTCCCACATATGTATAAACGCGAATGGGGCTGTCAGATGTAACTGTCCTCCAGGATACGAACTCGAAAATCCAACAACATGCCATAAAATCAACCCTTGCACAATAAACAATGGCAACTGTTCACACTTCTGCGAATACATCGATGGGCACGTCAATTGTTTGTGTCCAGAACTATACTCTCTACGAAATCAAACCCATTGTGTTGAAATCGACCCATGTTTAACAAGTAACGGAGGATGCTCCCATACCTGCCACTTTGAGAATCACAGGCAAACGTGTTCATGTCCTCACACTCACGAATTGCACAATCAAACATATTGCTTCGAGAAAAATCCTTGCCTTGAAGAGAACGGTGGCTGCTCCGATATCTGTGTGTATAAAAATGGTACACTTACTTGCGGTTGCCCAGAGAACTACTATTTGGAAGGAAAGATTTGTTACAGGGTTGATCCTTGTCTGATTGGTAATGGCGGGTGCTCTCATGAATGTTTTTCGGATGAGGAAGGGAATGTACAGTGTTCCTGTCCAAGAAGCCTACATCTTCAGGAAGATAGAAGCACTTGTATACCTGATGATCCTTGCTTGTTAGATAACGGCGATTGTTCCCATATTTGTGACTCTTCAACGGGCAAAGCAGTGTGCTCGTGTCCAGAGGGGTATGTGCTTAGAAATATCACGCACTGCGAGTTCGACCCTTGTTCTGTAGGGAACGGTGGATGCTCTCACTCCTGCCGAACAGTTGACGGAGAAGTGGAATGTTCTTGCCCAGATCACTATAATTTAGTGAACAAAACAACATGCGTGGGGGTCAACCCTTGTTTCATAAACAACGGGGGTTGTTCCCATGAATGTGCCACGGAAGGCAATAAAGTGATTTGCTTGTGTCCAGAGGGGTACACGCTTGAAGGAAAGGAATGCTTAGTGGTCAACCCATGTGATCATAAAAACGGAGGTTGCTCTCATATTTGCAGCAGCATCAACGGGCAGGTGGTTTGCAAATGCCCCCCGGACTTTGAGCTCATCAACAGAACTTGTTTCAAAACCAATCCCTGCTCTTTGAATAACGGAGGATGTTCACATGGATGCACCAATATTAAAGGTTACGCCAAATGCACTTGTCCTCCAGGTTACAAACTTTTCGGTAAGAAATGCATGGACGAAGATCCTTGCTCGAAGAACAATGGAGGGTGCTCCCATTCGTGTCAGAATAGGGAGGGAAAAAGAGAATGTTCCTGTCCTCCCGGATACTTACTTAGACCCAATAAGAGAGTTTGTAAAGAAGTTAACGAATGCAGGGTGAACCGGGGAGGCTGCTCTCATGGATGCAAGAATTTGCCTGGATCTTACCAGTGTACTTGCCCACATGGTCTGAAGTTGGATAGTGTGAGGAATAAAACTTGTGTAGATATCGACGAATGCCTCGTTGATAATGGGAAATGTGAAATGATATGTAGAAACTTCAAAGGAGGACATAAGTGCGATTGCCCGGAAGGTTACATTTTGCAAGTGAGTATAAATTTCTTTTCAGGAAGTTAAAAGTTTGAACCCAAACTCTGAATGTTCCCGAAAACTTCAATACTTATTCAAAATACGAAATAATGGAGAATATTGTACGTCACAGAGTCAGATGCTATAAATGCGATATGCATATACAGGGTGTAACTAAATGGGTGTAAAACATTTGAGGAGGTGATTCGTCATCGAAAAAAAAATAGGATCTTTCATATAAAGAAATTCCATTGGAACATCCCTTGTTACATACATCCCTTGTACATAAAATTTGTATAACAATTTTTTTCACAAGCACTAAAGAAGTTTCAATATTGAAATTAACCTGACGTTTTGTAC